CTGTTATAACCGTTGTTTTTTTCCCCTGTCCAAACCGTCATCTGTAGAGCTTTGAGAAGAGCTCTTTTTGTCTCTAGTTGAGTTCCCGGCTCTTACTGGTCAAGCTCGACTGAAGCGTCCGTGCGGTTGCCGCTGCAGATTTAATAGAAACTGGAGTGTAAATGAAGTTCTCTGTGCCGAGCCGTCATGGTCAATGATGCTTCTCTGGTGGGAGAGAAATGGCTCTTTTTGCCATCGGCGCTGATGCCCCAGTCCACGGCTCAACAAGCTAATCTCCTTTAGCCAGCTGGTGAGCCTTTCAACATGGATGAAGGACTCTGGGCTCCAAAACTATATGTTCAGAACTATATTGGTGGAGTTAGGGTTAACTAGGGCTGAAACGATTAGGCAAAAGTATCGACACTATCCACAAAATTTTTTTTTTTGAATAGTCTTTGATCTCGTATGACCTAATGTAAGTGCCTGCAATGATGCTGTTTGACCAGTGTGGCAGTGTAGCGCAAGACTGTATTTCAACCGTCCTACATATTATCCAATAGAAGAAGACACGCTTATGAGCAGAGTTGGGTATAATGCATTATAGAGTAACGTTACTGTATTCTAATTACTTTTCCTGATAACACAGAAATGTAATGCATTACATTTTAAATTTTTGTAATTTGATTACAGTTACTAATGTCAATAAAAGTATGTTACTTATGTTACAAATGCAGTGTTAAAAATATGAAGTAAAAATCATATTTTGCGCCTCAGTATTCCCTTAATAAATCACCGGAGAATGCAAGCTAAAATGCAGATGAGTTCTACAACATTTATATGCAATGAAAGGTTGCCTATCATATTTCAAAATGTTGCACTCGATTTCACATATTCTAGTCTGGCATTATAGTTTGGGAAAAGTTCAACTAGTAAATGTGTACAAGTTTATGTCACAATAACACTAATATAAGTAAAAATAAATGACTTGTCAGAATGGGATCCTCCGCTGGATTAATCCCCTCCTCGCATCGCATTCTTCTTCTGAGGTAAATTCAAGGCTTATTCCTCACAGTGCGTCTTCTTCCAAAAAAGAAAAATAGCTGAGATGAACTTGATGAATCTAAATGCTTTTTTTTTTTTTTTTTACAAAGGTGATGTGGGCATTTACATGTTTGCGCGTCTCAAGCCTTGGTTTCATACAGCTTACTTTATCAGAGAATATTTGTTTTCGAAATGACTTACTTACATTTAAAAATAGACACTTCAACTAGGGCTGTCGCGATAACCGCAATATCGCAATACCGCAATACCGTGCTATTGACGAGCAAACCGCAGAGGAATATTTGCCACAGGTTAACTTCACTTGAAGTGTAGTAACATCTGAATGCTGTACATGAATGTACTCCCGCAGAAAAATATCTTATCTGGTCCCACTCCCGCCCGCGACATTCATGTTTTGTCCCGCTCCCGCCCGCAAAAGCCCGCATAAAAGTAATCTATATAGATTTTTTTCAGCACATCAAAGAAGTTTACATCAAATGGTTCTGTAACATCTCCTAAGATCCACACCATCCCAGTATAAATGCTTCTGATAAAATATTTATTTAAGCTAAGCATCAACATTCACAACCCAGTGTTATTTTTAATAGAAAAGCAAGCATGGGCTGCTGCGTGCATGGTTTGGCATGGCAGAATGTGAGCAGCGCTTCATTTATTATCACTAAAAGCTGACATCTCAGTTCATCGCGATCTCATAAAGCTCTGTTATAACACAATGAACATATGCACAATTAATCTTTCACAATGTCTACAC